TGAGGTTGTCCACGGCCCGCTCTTCCTCCGCGAAGTCGTCCTCGTCGGCGTTGCCGTAGCTCTCCAGCCCGCTCTCCGTCACGCCCTCGCTGGCCATGTCCACATCCTCGTCCTCCTCCTCCTTCAGGGCCTGGCGGGGGTCCTCCGCTCTCTCCGAGCCCACCTCCATGTCGCACACCCGGTCCCCCTCTTCCTCGTCTTCCTCCTCCTCGTCCTCTTCCTCCAGCTCGTTCCCGGGGATCTCCGGGACCGCCTCGATGTCGGGGGAGCCCACCGACGCCCCCTCTCCCTCAGCGCCTTTCAGGCTGGCGTCCCCCAGGTCGTCGATGCTCTCCGTCCCCTCCAGCAGGCCGGCGTCCGACTGCGGCGCGCTCAGCTCCGACACCCCCTGCTGGCTGCAGCTGACGTCTTCCGAGTCCATCTCCGACACGGCCGCGCCGCCGCCGCCCCTGGACTCGCTCCTCTCCCGCGCGTCCGGCAGGCTCGGGGCCGCCCCGCTCCCGGCGTAGCCCTCCTCACCCTCGTCCTCCTCGGTGGGCTGCGTCTCGCTCATCTCCGACACGGAGACCGGCTGGCTGCCGTCCTTCTCCTCCTCATCATCATCGTCGTTGATCTCCTCGTCCGCTTTCTCGATCGCCACCTGCCGCTCCTCGACCTCGTCCTCCTCCTCCTCCTCGTCGTCGTCCTCCTCCTCCTCCTCCGGTTTCGGAGTCGATCTGAAGAAGTCGGGCGCTGGCGCGGGCTCCGGCTCCTCCTGTGGTCTCTGCGGCTCCACCGCGGCCACGGGCTTCGGGACCTCAGCCACGTGCCGCTCTTCCTCCTGCCCCGGCTCGTGCTCTTCCGGAACCGGGCCCGCGCTGGCAGGCGGGAGCCCCTCGCTGTCCGCAGTCAGCTCCGGCGGCGTGGCGGGCCGGTCCTGGCCCAGGACGGCCTCCTCCGGCACTGCACCCGTCGGCTGAGAGGGCGGGGGAGGGGGAGGAGGAGCCTCCTCTTCCGGAGTCGACCGCGCGCTGGGGAACGGCGGCCGAGCTGCCTGCGCCTGCAGGGGCTCCGCGGCGGCGATGTCCAGCAGGGGGGTCTCCGGGGCGCTAGCGGGTGACTCCACAGGCTCGGCTGCGACTCCTGCTTCGGCCGCGGTCGCCGCGCTCTCCAGGGAGGGCTGCGGTGCCGACGCCGCGACAACCGCGGTGGCCGCGGCAACAGTGGCGACGGCGGCAGCGGCGGCA